ATTATTACAAACAAGCTTGACTTTACTGGTAACATATTTGGCAAAGAATGAGAGAAAAATTTATGAGAAACCAAAGAATAAGTTGATTATAGTTTTCCTTGATAAATCTAAGAAATGAAATAAATTAAGAAAAATCTCTAATTTTTCTTTTAAAATTATTATTGTTAGGTTTTTTTCAACCAATGTTACAGTAAAGAAATGTATTTATATAGAGTTTGCTACTTAACTTCATCCTAAGTCATTTAGTTAAAAAGTCATTCCGTTGAGGAGGTCTCCATTAGTGGATGACAAGACACGGATGATGGCTCTCACATTTTGCCACATATATCAACTTATACACCAAACATTTCACTGTGTACGGGACATTGAGCAAGTTACTTAAAGTCTATGAGCCTCAGCCACAGAATGGCGATGGTAATACCTCACACACAGGACAGCTGCAAGGATTAAGTGAGATAAAGCACGTAAAGCAGTTAGCACTGTTCAGTAATAGGGCAGCAATAGTTATTGTTATTATTACCATTGCAATCTTTGTTCCAGAGTGCCTTTGTTTATTCCCATTCCAACCATACCACTGGCTCTTCCGGGCCACAGCCAGTATATAAATCCACTTTGATCCCAAGAACACCATTTAAGTCAGCTAATTTTTTTTTTTTTTTTTTGGTAGCAAGACTTTCTTGATGAAAGAAAGAATGATAATTTACATTCTGCACAAGCTCCTCATGTCCTTATGGATGAGTAATAAGTAATCCACCAACTGGCTTTTTCAAGTAGCAATGAAATGATCTAAGCCATATAGGTCTAGCACTTTAACCATGCCTTCCCTGGTATCTTTTCCTTCAGCAGTACCAGAGTCTCTACCAGATGACTCCAACAGCTTCTACTAATAAATTAATCATCTGGACAAATATTTACTCAATCATCTATGTGCTAGTCACCACACTAAGCGCCAGACACAAAGGGGACGTTATTTCGTGTTTCAGGGTTCCTACTTTGTAATTCAGCTGCAATTAGCTCCCTCACACTCTACCTTTCATCCATCCACAAATGAATCTAGGGAAAATCAAGTATTCCTACAAGCGTTAATAGATAAGGAAAAACACCCTACACCTCCTACTTTTCTGTAAGTGACAACTTGTCTGGGAAGCTGTTCCTGTCACCCCTAATGGTGTTAGAGTCTCTTCTAATGTTCCAAGGACACCTTCTTCCCCGAACATGAAGATTATCACGCTGAATTTTAAGTTGCTTAATTTTCTGCCCAGTAGTATAACTTCCAGAAGAGCAGAGATCAAGTTCCTCTTGTTCACTGCCAGCATGGAGCTTTGGTGCCTGGCATGTAATAGGTGCTCATTAAAGTTTTTAATGATTTGCATGAAACTGGGTTGGTCCAGTCAATTCTAAGCAATTATCCTCTTGCCTTAACATCAAAAAAGAAAACCTACTTTGTCTTTTGACTCTCTCTGTTGAGCAAATATGTCTCTGACGTCAGGAATCTGGTACTGTTTGTTTTTTTTCCTCAAGGTCTGGGAGACTGTCTCTACTCGTTTCTGAACAGCCGCTGCCTGGGTCCGGGTCAATGTTGATAAAAACACCATGCTTTCTTGGGGATCACCAGCAGATTCTCCGAAGAGATTGGACAAACCAGCCTCTTTAAGCCACTCTTCTTCCAATTCTCCCTCTGAAACAGTAGAGAAAAATGGTATTTAAATCACAAATTGTAAGAAATTTTACATTTCTTAAGCTGTTAAAAACTCTTGCTGAACCTCTTCTATTATAACCAAACCACAGTGCTAAGAATCATTATCTGAAACTTGGAAGACTGCCATACACTCCAGCCACAATGATGTCAAATTTTAGATCGATTTCATATATACTCAATTAAAATTTTTAAATGGCTTCACATGTAATTAACCTCTATAACTTCCCTGCAGATTAAGTCAGAGGATGATACTGTTCCCCTTGCAGAGACGAGCAATGAAAAGATAACTTACTTCCATCAAGTTACACAAGGAAGTCAGTGCTGGGGATATACATTAAAGCCTTATTTCTTGGCTTAAATTCAGCACTACCTTGGAGTCCAACACTAATTTATTGAAAGCCATGTTTTCTCTGTTCACTGTAGCTGACAGGAAGTGTAGCAAAGACATAAAGAACATCTGAACATGGGGAACTAATCAATTTCAAATTAATTTTTCTAATCCCCCAAAGTCAGCACATCAGATTATGTTATTTTTTACAAATTAAAAAAAGCACACTATCTTCACCAAAAGGAAAAAAAAAAAAAGAAAGAATTTATACAGGAATATAATAGCTGAATCAAATCAAAACACTGAGAGCAGGAAATAAACATTTATGCTAATATTGTATAAGATATAATGAAAATTATAGAAAAACAGAAGGATAACTAGAATAGATGCACTCCAAGCACATGTTTATAGAGGGAAATGTAAGAGCAATGACTTAGGACACAAAAGATCTGGATCCATCACCCACTTTGGCACCTTGATAGCTACAGCACTTTGGACAAGTCACTTAGCCTCAAGCCGACTCCATTTTCTCATATGTAAACTAAAGGACAACTGTCCCAGCTATGTCATTTCCCAACATATGGGAAGAGCTTTGCGAAGCACTAGGATAGCCTGTATCACACGGCACAGCACTGACTGACCTGCCTATCCTTCCATGCTATATAAACTCCTCGAGGGCAGAAATCAAGTATTAATCATTTTAGCTTCAAAAAACTTGATCCAGTGCTAGGCACTCCACATGACAGGCAACAAAAACTGTTTATTAACATAAAAAGTCAGCCAGCCATTATTAATATTATCATTAACACTGTTAAGGTGGAACTCAGTATAGATGCAAAAAACCAAATAGCCAGAATAATTTGATATTGCCAAGACAAGGAAAATAAACAAGATTACTATATAGAATGACTTGTTCCATTGAAAAGTAGAGAGAAAACTCAAAGCAATTTAAAGTCTAAGAAAAGGTGTGGGCAGGTAGAACTTTCCCAATCTTCTTGATGATCACTTGTGCACAATAATTATAAATCTAATTTAACTTAGGAGAATTATCAGACAGCTAATAACACACAGGCTTAAATGCTGCTTTCTCTAGCATATTCTCCTCTATTCAGCAGACTACTGATAAACTGCTTCTACCTTGAAACACTGGGAGAGAAAGGTTCAGAGAAGCTATTAATTATTACAAACAAGCTTGACTTTACTGGTAACATATTTGGCAAAGAATGAGAGAAAAATTTATGAGAAACCAAAGAATAAGTTGATTATAGTTTTCCTTGATAAATCTAAGAAATGAAATAAATTAAGAAAAATCTCTAATTTTTCTTTTAAAATTATTATTGTTAGGTTTTTTTCAACCAATGTTACAGTAAAGAAATGTATTTATATAGAGTTTGCTACTTAACTTCATCCTAAGTCATTTAGTTAAAAAGTCATTCCGTTGAGGAGGTCTCCATTAGTGGATGACAAGACACGGATGATGGCTCTCACATTTTGCCACATATATCAACTTATACACCAAAGACAAATATTTACTCAATCATCTATGCGCTAGTCACCACACTAAGCGCCAGACACAAAGGGGACGTTATTTCGTGTTTCAGGGTTCCTACTTTGTAATTCAGCTGCAATTAGCTCCCTCACACTCTACCTTTCATCCATCCACAACCAGTCACAAAGAGCCACATATCCTATGATGCCATTTATAGGAAACGTCCAGAACAGGCAAACCATAGAGACACACAGTAGACTAGTGGTTGCCTGAGAGTAGGGAGGGGAACGTGGGGAGCGACTGCTAATGGGTACAGGCTTTCTTCTGGGGATGATGAAAACGTGCTAAAACTGATGGTGGTGATGGTTGTACCACCATGAATATACTAAAAACCACTGAATTGCACACTTTCAAATAGGTAAATTGTATGATCTGTAAATGATATCTCAATGATGCTGTTATAAAACAAAATTACAAACTGATGTGTCAGTAATAAAATAGAAATTCTTCAAACTAAAAAAAAAAAAAAAGCACAAGTAATAAATGTGAAATAAATTAAAACTAAACTACCAAACTGGCAATAAGAGCCAAACCGTTGGAAGGAACTCTTGTTTTCAAGGGGTTGGGGCAGTGACACCTAAAGACGGTAGCCCTCCAAGGGTTGTAGACATTGTAAACCACGGCTGGCTCCACTCACCAGCAAGTGTGGCCAGACAGTACTTCCTGCTTTCCAGGTGAGGCTTTGGAAAAAATTCAAGAATCAGGAAGGGAGTCTGGATCAACCATACAAAGAGGCCAATTTGAAGGAATTATTTTAAAAATAATCATCCTATCGGATTTCATCTCTACAGACAGAAAGTGGCCTTTGTCGTCTCACCATATGTTTCATCTCCAGCTATCATCCAAGAAGGACTGCCCCCTCCACCTGTAGTCTAAGAAGAGTCTGCAGGGGCACTAGGGCAGGTACTCCTAGGCCATTAGTGTGCTACGTAGAGAGTGGCAGTACCCAGGACAGTGTTCAGTGACTGTCAAACCACATAAGTAGTAGGTCGGTGCCCGGCCCCACTTTAATCCCCTGCAGGACAGAGCAGTACCATTCTCCTACACTTCACTTCGCCCACAAGCCTGCCGAGGGCTGGCCCTCCACGACACAACGATCCTATGAGTGATTCTAATCTTACAGAAGAACACATTATTTTGGAGCATGTGGTCGGAATTGTTTTCCTTAGCAATTGAAGATGGCAGGACAGATGGTATTCATTTCTGTATTATATTTCCCAGTGTCAGCAAGGGCTTCACAAGGAAGCATTTAAAATGGAAGAGCTGACTGAATATGCACTTACTCGAAAACAGAAGAACGGCAAGTGAAGATGGCTGGCCCAAGTTTGCTTGAGGGATGCGGGATGCAAAGTGAAATTCTAAGGGGTGGCAGTGTTCCAATAAAAGGCATGCAGTGTAAGCACGTTAACATTATTTTAATTTACTTGTGCTATTTCTCTTTTAATGACTCCATCAGATGATACAATCCACCAATTACCTTGGACTCAAACCATGTGGTTTAGACATTGCCAGAAATTTGCTGAAAAATGTTGCTTCTAGCAGCAAGTAGCAACATCCTCTTGGAAACTGGCAGGAATCTCACAATAGATTTATATTTTGCTTAAGCTCAGCTTTCTGCCCTCTCCCCCTTTTCACTCCCTTAGGGAGGATTCTTTAATTAGGAAGAAAATGCTGCAATACGGTATTTCCTTACCATTCATTCTTCTACAGCTGGAAACCCAGTCCAACACTAGTGGATGTTCCAAATGACCACTGGGGAGTAAACAAGCTTTTAAGTTAAGCAAGTGCCTGGAGCAATCTAGCGACCCCCAAAGTACTGTAAAATGGACTGGACTTGATTCACAATTGGTCATGCAAATAGAATAACAATCTGCAGCTAGAAAGGCTGTCTTGGAAGAAGGAAATGTCTACAAAGAGTGAAAAAAAAAAAAAAAA